ACCACCATTTATACTATAAATATAGCAAAGGTATTTATGGCAAAGTCCTTGCTTTAGACTCGCACTTTATAGAACAGAGGTAGACAAAAAAAATATATTTTATAAAGGTTTAAAGTGTTTTAATGAGTTACCGCCACATGTAAAAGACTGTGATAACTTTGTTGCTTTTAAAAGACAACTATTTGATCACTGTAAAACTCTGGCTATTAGGCCTTTCCATCCGACCAAGCAGCAAATGATCTAGCATACGAAAGCTTCCGACTATGCCCAACAACCCGACCATAACGCGGAGCGGAAACTAGACCTTTCCGCCCGCCTCACATCACGGAATCCAGCGTCAGGGTTTGCATATTAATGACGACGGGAACATGGATCGGAGACTCGGCCTTTCCGACCGTGACTATCAACTCGTGAGCAACGCGGAGCGGAAACAAGGTTGTTGTTGTTGTTGTAGCAGCATACAAATTCCCCAAAGACTTTTTGGGGAGTGTTGCTGGAGTGACAGTCCTTGGCCAGATATAAATCTGGGTCGTTCCGGTTACGTAGGCCCGACTGTCGTGGGAACGAGCGGAAACAAGGTCTTTCCGCCTGCTGCACATAGTACATATTTAAAGGTAGACTGGAGACTAGGCCTCGCCAGCTACCAAACTAGTTAGACAATATACATTTATATAGGTTATTTGATAGTTTTAGAAACATAGGCTGCGTTTCTTTATACATTCCGGATAATCCCATTTCACAGCCGGAATAAACAGAATGCGTTTGAAATATACGTCACCATATCAACAGGAACGTTCTAAAGAATAAATAAACAAAAAAGCTTATTCCAAACGTTCAGAATGAATAAAGAAATGCAGCCATAAACAGCTTTGTAATTGAAAATTTAAACTTACATATACGCATACTTTGTTATATATTAAAAATACCTATCTGTACTTTTAAGTCGCAAGACTGTAACAAATAAATAAATAAATAGATATCAACCTCGTTGTAGGTATCATATCAAAGACATACAATTAGAAGACTCTAGATGTCGCCCCGCCAGGAGAAGTTAAATATTGCGCCTAAAAATATGCACTACATATACTACAGCAGAAATGGACGACACGCCATTTCTTTAAATGATTAATTGCTGCTATATGCATGTATATACTCAACGTGAGCACAAAACATTTTGCTTGCATAGTCTTATATTCTATTTTCACTGCAAGTTGAATTATTAGATGCGTTCCTTATCTTCCAGAATAGTCAGAAAAAGTTCGAAGTAGTCAGATTTAGTACTAAAGCGTTCCTTAACTCGAAAATGACAGCAAAAATGAGAGTACAACACTCAGGGCCGGTTGTTCAATGTCCGATTAGCACGAATCGGAGGTAGAAGCTCCGGTTATGTACAACGACTGCTTTATCGATCACATGTTATATGCATGCTGTCGAAATCGTCGATAATGATGTTTAACCCGCAAGTAGTGATAACCAGACATTGAACAACCGGCCCTCAGTGAGAGTGACCTTTCAGTCCGAAGTTGTCAGATTTAGTCAGAAGAATTTTTTCTGGCAAAATCTTGAAAAGTATCAAACTCAACTGAATTTAATACACAAAAAGTGAGAATAATCTAAAAAGTAAAAAAGTGAACTGAAAGTGGAAGGAGACAAAAAACAATTGATATAGCAAGTGTTTATTGTGCTTGTGCCAAGGCGAAT